GCTGGAGAATATTTTGATTCTAACTATATCAGAACTTCTTCTAATATCAATGAGGCAATTCGTAGCCTGAGCTTTCCATATTTACGAAGATGTGCACTACTGTGGAAATTAATTCATTCTTCAACCCAGATTCCATTTGGTGAGGGTTCATGCATGCCAGATGGATTATCACATTCATCCGATGAGATGATGCAGAGTGATGATGCTTTTTCAGATCTCTTTGAAATAGAGAAGTTGGAAAAAATATTTAACATTCCACCCCTCGATGTTGTTCTAAACGATGAGGTTTTACGGTTTATTGTTCCAAGATGGTTCTTGTGTCTTTCCAAAGAGTTTGAAGAACATAATCGACAGGGTGTCCTATTCTCCACCCCTGCTGTCCCATTTAGATTAATGGGGTTACCTCATCTTTATCAGGATTTATTGCAGAGGTTATTTTTCTTTAAAATGCATGATGTATTCAACCTTTTTTGTTGTAAGACGCGACTGGTTATTGCAATATGGATGTTTTTTTTGAAGGCATATTAAGCAGCAATGCCTTGACTGTAGAACTGTTCTTGACGAACCTGCATTGTGCCTGCTTTGTGGTAAACTGTGCTCGCCTTCCTGGCAAACATGCTGCAGGTTTGCACACATTTTTGTGTTCGGTTTAGTTTCTATGCTCTTCAAATAATTATAACATAATTTGTTTTAATCTCAAGGTATAACAGTTGCCAAACTCATGCATTGGCTTGTGGTGCTGGTACTGGGGTGTTCTTGTTAGTTCGAGTAAGTTTTTTTGGTTTCCTGTTGTTGTAGTTCTTTATTTAAAAGTCTACAACATTCAATATAACAATTAAATTAATGAAGTAAATTGTTGTCATGGTAGAAAACCACGATCTTGCTTCAACGGTCTGCTCGTCAAGCATTTTGGCATTCCCCTTACTTGGATGTGTTTGGTGAAGAGGTAGTATTTCTTTTAAAATGACATGAGTCTATGCTTAGTTTGAAGATGGACTCCCTTTCGATGCTGACCTCATATTTTCCCCGACATTATGTATAGGACATTGAAATGCGTAGGGGGAAGCCATTGTATCTAAATGAGGAGCGCTATGCAGCTCTAACACACATGGTATTTTAAAACCTCTATACTTAGTCTGCTTGAGAGTTATTCTTGATGGTGTGCAACTCTTTGAAGTTAGATTAAATTTACTTTACACTGTTACGATTTATGAATATGGGAGAGGTGGAATAAAATAGAAAAACAAATTTTAAAACAGCCTAGGGAAATCCTACAATTGGGGTCCGGTGACAAGTGAGTACACAGACCTTACCCATATCTAGAGGCAGTGCTGCAGAGTGGTGCTTTCGAAAGACCCGTAGTTCAAGAAAACAAGCAGAAAAACATAAATTGATTGCTATTTTTACTAATACACTTCACCTTTACTGTTTCTATAGGCTCGAAAGATAAAATCAATGTCAGTTGGCAACAAAATCCACAAATAGAAAAAAAGAAAACTGCATAATGAGATGCATTGCAAATGGAGCAGCACATCCAAGTTCAAGTTAACAGGAAACATCTATACATGCTTTAAAACTACTTAGCATGTACAAGTGAGATGGAAGGGCCTGCCCCAACCTCTCAAACATGAGACAAAGTCTATACAGTACATATTTTTTATCGCAATCCGGGAAGGCTAAAACAACCTATTTTAAAGTAATGTTCTTGGTTTGCTTGAGATTTGCCATCATCTTCCTAATGACCTCCCATCAATGCTTCTTTGGCCCATCTATACATATCCTATCTTTTTGCAATTGCCAAACATTTGCACCTTCTAACTGCGGCTCATTCTCACATCTGACCTTGTCCTGTATAATCTCATATTTAATCATTTTAAGTGCTTTGTATGAGTTCAAAACAAAAAATTTAATTGAGTTGTAGTTACTTAAGGTTTTCTATGATGTAACGCATCCCTCCAGTTGGAGAATATTTTTATCATGCTCAACCTCTTGGAGAGACAAGCCGAATCTCATTAGTGGTTTAGTAAAAAAATTATCTAACTTTTATCCAGTCTTCACATATCTAGTAGGAGTATTAGGTCTAGTCTAGCACCATCTTTTTTTCTCAAAAAAGAATAAACTAATTCTTACTATTATCTTACATAAGTTTCTCGCCAGTCGTTAGGATGAATAAACCACTTAGCTTGTTTGCTTGCATGAGTGATGCTGCATTTGCATAAATATCCCAAAAAAGGGGCCGAACAGTATTGCAGGAGTAGCAGGAGACCAATTCACCCCACACTTCTAATTAAATTACAAATTTGATGAATCACATCATTCTTGACAAGTTCTGGCACAAAATTCTGTTTGAGTAGCGAATGTGTTCCATATTTATTTGGTTATATTCCATCAATTTTTAGCAGTTATGTTCTTGCTTCATGCTATGTTTGTAACATTTTATTGTTAATTTAGGTGGCCTCTCACAGCCTTGATCGAAGTTCCAAGGTGCTCCGTCAGACATCTGTTAGCTTTTTCATACTTTAGCTTCAATCGATGTGATAGCATTCTCCTGTGAGAGGTTCTCATACTAAGATTTGATTACATCTCTTACTTCTCTCCCTCCCACACACACACACAGCTCTCTCTCTCTCTGTATGTGTGTGTGACTGTGTGTGTGTGTATAGATTTTGGTTTTGGTGAGAATGCGATCTTATGAAAGAAATAAGAATGAATCTGGTGCTTTAGATTGTGAGATCTAAGGGCCAAGATTGCATCAAAATTAGGTGCACCAAAATGGTTTGAAAATGCATCATGTCAAAATGCACCAAAATCTTTTGAAAATGCACTATCTCAAAATGGGAGCGTAGGATGCAATCTGAGCCGCACGATGCATCAGATTCAATGGCTAGATTTTATTCTTATTTCTTTCACCAAGGTGCATTCTCACTTGAACCAACCCCTATATATATATATATATATATATATATATATATATATATATATATATATATATATATATATCATTGGGGCAGGATTGTTGGTTTATCATTTTTATTTATGCTTATCACTTTTCTGTCCGGACTTACAGGTAAAAGGTTATTAAAGTGGTGTCCGACAACTGATTCTAGATGCTGCTGTCCATATTTCCAAGGTTTGTTGTCTATTATCCTCAGATTTACATCCATAAGTCATTTTCTATTATCCTCACTGGAACATAGGTTTCGGTCAGTGGCAGATCTGAATCAAACCCTTCTGGTGTTCCAAACTTTTATTGGGACCGTCTGAATCAACTTTGATATCTGCAATTTTTTAAATTAATACTCCTACATAAGTGGGGTTGTTTTTAACCCAGCGATAATGGATCAGGGAGTAGGCTGAGTAGCACTACACAAAGTTCCCTTATACACGTAGTACTCTACAATATTAAACTTAGGGGCTGTTTGTTTCAGCCTCTTAATGGTTCAGATGTCTGAATGATTCAGCACTTAATGGTTCAGACTGTTTGTTTCAGCCTCTTAATGGTTCAGATGTCTGAATGGTTAAGAGATTTGCCTCTGAATGGTTAAGTATTATACAGAGTCTGAATGGTTAAGAGCTCTTATCTGAATTGATCAGACATTTGCCTCTGAATAGTTAAACAATATACTAGCTCTTAATGGTTCAGACCTCTTACTGGTTCAACACTTAATGGTTCAGACCTCTTACTGGTTCAGCACTTACCCATTCAGAAGTTACCAAACAGCCCCTTAGTATTAACTTCTTTTAGTTTCCTTATAAACGCAGTAATTCCTTGTCCATAACAAGATTTCATATTTTCTTTTTTGTTTATCCGAGAAAAAGATTCATCTTTCTAATCTGAGGATGAAATTGAGTGGTTCATACAATTTCTCTTGCCTCTACACAAAATTCTACTACAAACTTTCACCCTTAATAATAATCATATCCAATCAATCGTGGATTTTTGAGACGAAGATCATACTCATTTTTGTAACAATTGTTTTTCAGCATAACCTTTATATAATATTTTTATATTAGCGTTTTTCTAATTAGGAGTATAATGTGTGTAGTAATCTGCATTAAACATCTTAGGGTAATTAAAGCAATTACTAACATATTAATTTTGTTCCAAAATTACGTTTGTTTGAAACATGTTCAGATTACTTATTGTGGAAGTCTGAAGCTTATGAACCTCAATATATTACTCCCTCTATCCCAGAATTATCTTTTAGGTTTGACTTGACATGATTTTTAATAAAGTGAAATGTGGGTGGTTCTTGTTTGTGTAGAGGATAGAGAATTAATATGTACGACATATTTGTTTCTTTAAAAGGAAAGAGGAACAAAATTTTGGCACAACCCAAATAGTAAAGCAGGAAAATAGTTAATGAGACACAGGGAGTATATGATATATTTTCATAGATGTTACTGCTGTAGTATAATTCTCATTCGCGCCTAGGTGGTCGCCTAGTTGCCTCGGCGCTGTGATAACTATGCGAGTAACATCTAGAACTTTCCAATCTGTGCATGCATCATCAGTTCTTGAAGTCTCAGTAAACATTTGTGGCTGACAGGTAAGTGGTTCACGTTTGTGGGAGACAGTTGGGATTTTCCTTTTGGCAAGGCAAGGCGGGCGGAGACTTGTTCGTAATGCCCTCAGACATGCTGTGTATAATTGTGTGCATATGGAAGAAATAATCACAAGTCTGTAATACTGTATATCTATGTGCCCTATCAACTTGGATTAGGGGTGGACACGGTACCTTTCCGGTCTGGTTTCGGTTCTGGAACCGGCGTTCCGGTACTGCCACCCCATGGAATCATTATCGGCGCCAGCGTCGGTTCCCGCACCGTACCGGGCCGGTTTGTTCCGCCTTCAGTTTTTTTTAATTTTTAGTTGTAATTTATAAATGTGTAAGTGTAAAAGCAAAAGAAATTTATAACTTTTTATGAATTAGAATATCTAAAAATGTAGTTGTTATTTAAATAATAAAAATGAAATGTACAAAAAAACTACATTTAATATCCTGACGGTTCAAAATGGTGTCGCTAGACCTGAATTCTTGTTCCACAACTACGGTTGAAACCGGTATGGATAAGACTTGTATAGCTAGCATTTCGAGAGATGAGAATATATGTTCATTCACTTCCACCGTTCGAGAAGTCGTCTTCGTCGTAATTGTATTTCGTCATAATTGTATGGCACCCCTTTGTACATTGCAAATTTGTTGTATTTAAACGTGTACCACCTGAATTCATCGAGGTAGAATTGCGCTTATCATTTTTAGTCAAGATGTCACCGATTATCACTTTAAAATCTTTTTTGCGTTGGGAGGCGGGGATATGCAATTTCTTTCGGTGCACTACCGTAAAAGTTTGAAATTCTTTAAATAATGATTCAAAAAGATCAATAGCATTATTTAAATAATTATTTTCATCTAAAAAAAAATTATAGTAATACTCCTATCAGAATTTTAAAATTATCAATCTTAAAACCAGGGTCACAAATAATATCAATTTTATAAATATCGGGAATATACAAATAACCAGCACATCATTTATCTTTCATAGAAAATATGTAGAGGTATAATTGTGGATCAGATAAGCTTTCATGAAAACATGTTGCAATTGTAATATACTCTGAAAAAAATTTGTTTGCTGTTGGTTTGTAAGCATGCGAGAAAGTAAGAGTTGTATTATTAAAAATTTCTAATGCGGCATTCATTTTTCAAGAATAATAAATTCACTCAAATCAACCATATAATGAAGTTCATACTTGAGAAATGAAGCAAGTTCTTTTTTGTAGCTCAGAATCTGTGCAATCAAACTATATGTACTATTCAACCTAATCGTAATGTCTTTAATGCATCCAAGTTTTTCAGAAAAAAGAAAAAGTAAATTTTCCTCACAAATCATTTCAACCATTTTTTTTGTTTATTTTGCCCATCACTATAAGCAAAAAGACTCCCTTAACCTTATTCACAAAATGCAAAATTTGGGTTTGTACTTGTCCCTTCTTTGCCATCATTTTAGCATACTCAACAATGCGCCTCGTTTTGAGGTGTTTGGTCAGTCCTTCATAACCCCCGGAAATTCCTATTTTATGACTGCCCCACAATGAAGACAAGTTCCAAAAACTATGCCATTTTTTGTATCTTTACTAAAATGATATACAAATAAATCGGATTTAGGTTTTTTTATCTTTCCCCAAATGTATCTTTACCTCTCTCTCCTCATCGGCAGGATAGTTGCTCTCAGGTGTTGGTTTCACCTCCTCTTCAACGTCCTCGAATATATCATCAAGAGTTTGAAGATTGGCGTCATTCTTCTCTCCCAAATACTGCTCAAATTCTTCATCAGTCACAACGGCGCCCATGAAGTGATGGGAGACTGTATGAAAGGAAGAGACCGAGTGTCTTCCTTCAAAAGCAAATGAACTCGAACTTTCGAAGGTGACGATGACTTTGCCTTTGTTAGAACCTCATCGGTTCACAACATCCATATCTACGAACCTTCTACTAGACTCCCTTGATATTTTAATATATTTTTATATTGATAAAAAAATATGACAATATATTAGAAATTTAGAATATTATAACATTCTAAATTTATAATATTAATAATATAATATATTCGAGTTTTGAAATATATTATAATATAAATATACAATAATATAATTTAATATATATATATATATATAAATATAAAATGTATAAAAGAGATCATTTAGTAGAGATTAAGAGAGAGAGAGAGAGAACTAAAAAAATTAGGGTAGCATTTATAGGTAAAAATAACCCCCCACCCCCTCCAAACAACTATATTGCCGTTGGAGACGCTCCCTAGGGCCTACTAGGTTTGCAACGGTCACAGGAAAGAAAGAAAAGGAAAACAAATACAAAATTGGACCAAAACAAGAACCGGAACCGCCCGTTTCGATCCCAATATCTAAACCTCGGAACTGGACCCGTGGACGCCGCTTCCGGTCCTCTGTATCGTTTCATCGTCTCCGTCACCGGTGCCGGTGGCGTAACCGCCGGTTTCAGTGCCAACACCGGTTCCGTACCAGGACTGTGTCCAGCCCTAATTTGGATTTACTCGAAAAGGTATATGGTATAACCAATTGTACCAAAAGTAATGTACAACTGAGTGGTACTTATTCTTGCATCGACATAAGCATTCATTTTGAAATAGCGTGATAATCATTCAGAAATAATGTAGTACTCATTTTCACACATTTATTTAATATAATTATAATATTCATCTACGAATAATGTAGTGTTCATTCTTAAACAAAGTGGTACTCATTCTCAAATAACGTAGTATTCATTCTCAACTAACTTACCGTTAATTCCAAATTTGTGAGTCTGGAATCTAGAACCATTCTTGATCTTCTTCGCTGAAACGCTAGGCAGACCTAGGGTTTCTACATCTGCTACTTCTCCCATCTTCTTTACTGAAAGCTGCCTAAGTTTTCGCAAGTTTTAGCTGACATTGCCTTCGTCGATCTCATATACCATCACTTTCGCCCCCATCAGCGTCTTCTCCTGGCAACTTTAGGTGTAGCCCGTTGTATAATATAATTTGCGGATTTACTCGGTTTCTTCTTTACACCTTCCTTTTACCTTTCTGTAATGTAAAATTAGTTCCGTATAGTTTCAATGAATGAGTCATTATCCTTTTCCAAGTTTATATTTGTGTTTGATGCTAAAATGCCATTAGCTAAACTACCCTTGTATCATGGATAAATTTCACCGTTGAAATCTGAACTTGATCGTTTTTCCACTTTAACTACTCCTTTTGTCTTATAATATGGCTCATGTTCAGTTCACGATGTTTCTATTTTCAAATCAATATAAGAAAATTGATATACAATTAAAAAATTAATATTGCTATATTAAAAAACAACATAAGTGGTAACAAGTTTATTTTATTTTATCAAATGACCAATAAAAATGTATAAAGAAAGTAGAATTAATTTGACATGTGATCAATAACCATGAGTCTTTTTTGGGATGGAAAGATAATAATTATCTTAATTTATGCCTCGACTTTTTTTGGGAAAAACTATATGCCTCAATTTGATAGAACATATCGGACTAGATCAGATCAGAACAGACCAAATCTAAACAAAATTAATATTATTATTATTATTACTATTATTATTATTACTATTACTACTATTACCATTATTATTAGTATTATTATTACTATTACTATTACTATTACTATTAATACTATGATTATAATTATTATTACTATTATTACTATTATTATTACTATTAATACTAATAATATTATTTTTGTTACTATGATTATTACAATTTTTATTTTTACTATTATTATTATTACTATTATTACTATTATTTCTATTATTAGTATTATTACTAGTAATATTATTATTACTGTTACTATTACTTTTACTATTATTATTATGACTATAATTATTATTACTATTGTTATTTTATTATTACTACTACTAATTTTATTATTACTACTATTATAGTTATTATTATTACTATTATTATTACTATTATTATTATTATTACTATTAATATTCTTATTTCTATTATTATTACTACTAATTTTATTATTACTATTATTATTATGATTATTATGATTATTATTATTATTTTCATTTTAACTAATATTATCATTACCATTATTATTATTTTTTCTATTATTATTTTTATTACTATTATTATTAGTATTATAGTTATTATTATTTTTACTATTATTATTACTATTATTGCTATTATTATTACTATTTCTATTATAATTGTTATTTCTTTTATTATCAATATTTCTATTATTATTATTACTATTACTATTCGTATTATTATTATTATAGTTATTATTATTATTATTATTATTACTATCATTATTAATATTAATATTATTATTATAATATTATAATAAAAAGTTTAATTTTAATCAAATTCGTATCAGATCAGATCCAATGAGATCACATCTGATTAGATCCAATCCAATTAGATCAACCTAATCGGATCAGATCAGAACTTCAAAAAATCAGATCAGGCAAACAAAACACAACCCTAATGGCAATACTATAAAATTTTCACTTTAGACATAAAGATATTTTTTTGCCACACATAACACCCCATTTTGACCAATTTGTTTGATTCAAATGGTTTACGTTATCCTCTCGTTTTTTATTGTCTTGAATGATACATCTAAGATACTTAGATTTCTATACTTGACAAATTTTTCAAACTTTAAATGGATTCTACAAAAAAACCAACCAAACTCTATATGGATTCTACAAAATTTTCAAATCCACTAACTTTTTGAAATCTAAAAAAATCCAATGAAATCCTAATTGAATACACTCCCTTAGTTTGCCACGAAATGTCTTGTCCTTCTAAGCATTTCGATCTAGACCTCAGTCAGGATATTCTCCGATTCTACTATTATTTTATTCTTCATTTGTTTTAGGGCTTCCTTAAGATTTCTAAACTTGATTGATATGCATAGGGGGGGTACAGAATCCGGGTCGGGCTGGAAAATAAACCTGTAAAATTCCGGACCAGTCTCCGGTCTAAAGACCGGACCGTTTCCGGGTCGGACCGGTAAGACCGGAATGTCTATTTTTTAAAAAAACTTAATACCTATAATACGGAGTATAAATATAATTATAAATACAATTGTATATTTTCATTTACTCTTCTTGTTTTAATACGAAGTATAATATTTTAAATATAATATGTACTTTTTAATTCATTTCATTGACCTTTATCCAAGAATATCCATAATTATAAAAAACTAAAATTGTTTCCCAAAAATTAAAGTAGAATCTTTCGATTTAAAGTATTAAATACTTTGACATATAAATTAGACTTGCTAAAACCAATATACTTTAAAGTACAACTTTATAATATTTTTGAAATCCCAAAACTAACGGAAGTATAAAAATCATTTTAAACCTATTATATTGTTGACAGAAATATTTTATATTAATATAATTTCTTGAAACACACCCAATGGATATAAAAATTAAATGTAGGGTTA